GGACCCTCTTTCCAAATAAGGTCACATTCACAGGTCACAGGGATAGAACTTCGATATATCTTTTTGGGGGACACAATTCTGTCGGGGACCATCCGGGATGGGTAGGCACATCTGCCGGGGGTCTCTCGACCTGCAAGAGGGTCCCAATACCTGGAAGAGAGAGTGCGCTTGAGCGGGGATCTGGAGGGCTGATAGGCCGTGCCTAAACAGCAAATTTTATTTTTCAAAGGCCAGGAATACACTTTCTTGGCTCTGGTTTACTTCATAACAAGAGGAAATGCAAATGTATACCTTACATGGCCTATACAATAGAGAAATCAGATACACAATGGTTGCAAGAGGAAATGCAAATGTATACCTTACATGGCCTATACAATAGAGAAGTCAGATACACGATCAGTGATTGTAAAAAGTAACAGAATTTCCTGTGATCATAAAGCTTGTTTACATCCAGACATTATTCCTCCTGGCTGCAGGTATCTCTGGTTTGATCTTGTTTTAGAACTGAGATGTGAAAAGGTTTTCTGGTTTTGCTCATCAGAATATCTTTTAACCGGATTCTTCTTTGTCTGCTCTTGACTCAACTTAACTCAACTTCCCCATTCAGGAGTCTCTGAGTCAGAAATCAAAGCCATCCCTTATGGTGGCATTTGCTTTGCAAATATCCCGACAGTTAAACCATTATCTAGGGTCCAAGGCAGTCAGGCAAGTAAAGAAAAGGTTAAAACTTATTCTTAAAGAGAGAGTCATAAAAAAGTTAAAAGCAGGAACCGGTTGCTGGTAGGGGGTCACTCGGTCTAGCAGCACTGCATAGTTTTAGGCCCAAACGATATTGTGGTTGATATTAGAAACTGATCATCCATCTTTAAGTTCCTTTTTTCTGGCTAGCTCGACTGCCTCCAGTAGGAAACTGTGTTTGGGATCAAACTCACCGTATAGTGAGACTCACGCCTTTTGGGGGTCTCACACGGGAATGTTCCCCACACAATTCCAGCCACCACATCTGGTGACTAAGAATACATTTGTTCATGTCTAGGAATAGGGCTTTGATTGATAGCCATGAAGCAAAACAAAGCAAAATGGTCCACAGGGAGAGAAAACCATTATCTTACTAACCTGATGTGCTTATCAGTTGTGCTAACTAGTCATAAACATATTCACCCCATCACATTGTCTTTACTCTTGTATGAGTGTGTGTGTGTGTGTGTGTGTGTGTGACAGAATCTCACTCTGCCACCCAGTCTGGAGTGCAGTGGCTCAATGCCCACTCACTGAAAACTCCGCCTCCCAGGTTTACACGATTCTCCTGCCTTAGCCTCGCCTGCCTTTTTTTTTTTTTTTTTTTTTTTTTTTTTTGGAGAGATGGAGTTTCATCATGTTGCCCAGGCTGGTCTCAAACTCCTGAGCTCAAGTGGCCTCCCAGAGTGCTGGGAGTACAGACAGGCTTGAGCTACCGCACCTGGCCACAGTCTTTACTCCGTTCCTTTTTATCTTTTTCTTTCTCCTTCCCTCCTCCCCTGCCCCTTCTTTCTGGCCTTTTCTTCTTCTTCTTCTTTTTTTTAATCATGAGATGATAGCGTCAAATAGTTGATGTTGAGAATCTATGAGGAGATCTGGATGAGAAAAATGTACTTTCCTGTGAGTAAGGTAGTGAGGTATTCTTCAGTTTATTACGTACTCCAAAAACATGAGCAAGCTTACCAAAGATTTTGTAACTGAAGAATCTATTACAAGTAATCGGGTTTATATTTAGCTTTGAATTATACATACACACCCCCACATATACACAAATATATTTTTAAGTAACTTAGATCATCAACATTTCAATCTGAGCATTATATGAGTAGTATTGTTTCTATCTTCACTGTCTTGTGAGATAACTAGTGACGTATTTCCTAAAACAAGGAGATCAATTAACGTAACTGACATTTGCAAATTTGAATCAATGATGCTGCTCAATCCAATCAGACAAAGTAAAGAAAGCTAGTTCATGGTTTTCTTAGAGCCAGAAGAAGAAACTTGCAAAAGAGTTTTCTCACTGTGTTCTCTTCCCCTTTAAATCAATTCTCAGTTATTACAGGAAAGAAAGGAGAGAAGAGTGTACATTATGTTCAGGCTCACAACTCAAAGGGTAAATGAACAAAAAATTACTAAAGTAATTTTCAAGAGAAAATTTCTCCAGAGGGGAAAACACACATTATAAAACCTTTTGCTGGAGTGAGGATCAGAATGGAAGGTGCCAATTGGATTAAACTGTTAGAACCAAACAGTTTAATCTGGGATTTTGTTTTAATCCCACTGTCTTGAATATAGACTAGTCATGGAGCTCCCTTTCCACAGGTCTACATGGGATGTTCAGATCTGTCCTCATCAATGCCACAGACAATTCAAGAGAACTTTTGAAACCAAATGGACGTTGACACAGAATTCCTTGGGGATAATGGGAGTGTCCAGTGCACTTTCTTCTTGAAAGATCAGTGAAAAATACTCAACAGCATGGGAACTAAGAGGGAAATATGAAGCATAATGGTGTTTGGTCAGTGGAGCAAAGGATTTGTAGTGGTGAAAAAAATAGATAAATTATTTTAATTGTCTTTTTTACATCTCTCGTGGCACAATTGAGGCTTAGACAGGATTTCAGTTGTGATTTTTGTTGGCTTAGTTTTGACCTGAACCAAATGGATTTGCTGTTTTTGTTTCTTTCTTCTTTTCATTCAAATGGTACACCCTTTTGTTTTGAGAAATCTGGTTGTTATCTCCCAGTTAGAACCAAGCCTAATGAAGTACTCTTTCCAATTTTGGATGTTTAATCATGCTGGATGCTTACCAAAGACCTCAAAAGAGACTAAACTTAAAAGACAAAGATGATTGTCAAGTGGGCTATGGATTAGGGTCTGATTTTTTTGGTGAGAGTTAAGTGAACATAGTTTAGGCAAAGGTAGATTCAATAAGGCGGAAAGGAAGAAATGAAGTATGCTTCTGGGGAATAAATGGCAAAGCAAACACAAGAACTCACTAAACAAGAAGCCAACGCGCAACTCAGAACCAATATGTGATATATAATTTAAGACTCAAAGGTCACTTAATATCAACTCTCTTGCTACACACATACACCCAAAGAATCTGGCTAGCCATAGTTTTAGAGCTTGCCTTAGCTGTTTTTCTTTCATGCAAGTGTTTTTCTGGAGGTACAAAAAAATGTAAGAGTAAAACTGGATTTATCGAAGCATTAGCTTGGACTAATTAGGTAATAAAAGCATTTTCAAATTGCTAATTTACTAAGCAGTGTCACTGGAATGCTGAATTACTTTACTTTTATTATGATGATCAAGAGAGATAAATGCAGGCCTACCCACGAAACCAAAGCAAAGAGAAGAGAGGCAGGAGTCATTCTTTGCATAATTGCTGGCATTTGTCATCTTCCCACCGAAAAGGGGATCATCAGTTTTTCTAAGGACTGTTTTCTTTGCTTCAGAGTCTTTTCTTCGGCACTGTTTATCACCCACACTGTCCTCATTTACCCAGCAACACATACTGTACTAATGTACTTTCCATTAGTGAATTTAATGAATTTAATTTTGGTTCAAGATGTTAATTAAAGTGGTGCATTTCATTCTTATAAGGATGAAACTTAAAAAACTCTTGGTTCTCAAGTGTTAGGTGAAATGACTAAAAGCAGAGATGAAAAATAGGGTTAATCAGTGTGAAATGTAGTATCATGAGCCTGCTATCATTACATGATAATGGATTATAATTAATTTTCCATCTCATTTAAGAAAACAAAGGCTCAAAAATCACGACTTCAACTGCCTATATTTAGGAGAAATTTTGGAAGAAGAACGTGTAAGAAGAAACAGAAAAGAAGTTTGCCTCAAAGAGAGAAACGCGAAAGAAAAAGCTACCAAACCAGATATTCCATCATCAGAAAATGAATGAGAATTTTATTATTTCTTAACTTAAAAAAATCTGTCCTTTGCCAGATCAAAAAATGCTGCCAACCTGGAAGAAAAAGAATCCGTTTTTCTAAACAACCCCGTTTAGTAATTTCCATGAAATTGACATTTTAGAACTATGACAAAAAGCCAAATTAAAACTCAGGGGTTTCTAATCCCTAAATTCTGAGTTCGTTTTAAGAAATACCTAAAATACACTTTAAAACGAACCAATTAATATAATTACAGTGGGTTTAAATAACACATACACACTGGATCTGTTTCTGTAAAACACAGCTGTTCTGTTACTTATATTTTGCTATTTTTAAAATTAGAAATGTGGCTTTATATATTATACATATATGTAAAGTAACTTTTTAAAAAGAATGAATCTGTTGTCTTCTGCTATCATTACATTAAAAAAAAAAACAAAAAACCCAACCACCCTACAACCAATTAACTTGGAAATCTTATATCCATGCTTCTGAGTATTACTGCGGTTGTAGCAAGGAAAACAGCACAACCAGGTAGTTAAATGTAACAGAAACAGGGCGCAGGCAGCAACTTGCATCCCCTGGCAATTCACATGGTAATTTCTTCGCCTCCACTCTCAAGCTCACTCCACCCGGCTTCACCAACCCCCTTCCCTCTAAGACACGAGGAACCCTCGGGGCCATGGAAGGTGCCCTGCGGGGAGACGCCGGAAGAGCGGGGGCAGAGTGCGCGGCGCCCACTCCCTTAGCCATGGGCGGCCGCCGCGGGCCCCCGGAGTGGTGAACGGGTTGGGAGAGCGGGGTTGGGGGCGGACCCCAGTTCCGCACCCCTGGCCCTCCCCCACCTTTCTATTGCCATAGACCCAAGAACCCGAAATCTGCGGCACGAGGCGCGGCGCCCGCAGCCCCAGGCTGGGCCCCAGCAGGGATGGGCGGGCAGGGGGCGGAGCGCAGCGCGGCGCGGCGCAGCGCGGGGCGGCGGGAAAGGGGCGGAGAGGATAGCTTAGGCTCTGGCGGGCGGCGGGACTGGCAGAACCTGCGGGCTAGGTGGGTGGCTCGCCAGCCTGGACGAAGTGAAATGAGGACCGCCGCTCCCGGGCGCGAGTAAGCGCGTGGAGTCCAGGGGCTTCGCCGCCGCGCCTCCTTCTCCTCCTGCAGCTGGAGACTGCACAGCGGCGGGCGCACCAGCAGCAGCGACGACCCTGCGCGCAGGTGGGCACCCCCGAGCGCGGCGCTCTGCCCGCTGCCCTGGCCACCGCGGGCCGGCTACCCGCTTTTATAGGCCACTGCGCTTGGGGGCAAGGGCTGGGCAGGTCCAGGGGCAGAAGGAAGGTGCATGGCCCCGTGGTGTGCGCGCTTCTGCGCCTAGGTGTGGGAGAGGTGCTGAAAAGCTGACTCCCTTAGGGTTCACTGTTTCGGTCCCACTGTCCCCACCCCATCCCTTCTGAGGAGCCGAGTACCAGCGGGGCTTTGGAGAACTGAGCTCTCCCACCCGGCCCGCAGTAACGGTGGTGTGTGCAGGTTGCCCTTCTCTTCGCAGTCCACACCCAGCAACCGTCAGGACGTCCCCTGCTCCCGGCCCGAAGACCGTAGGGACCTTGGGAGGAGACAGTGGTGGCTGGACGGGTCGGGGCGTGTGCGCGAAAGGCTGGAGTTGAGCTTGAGTATTGTCTGTCGGGGCCGGGGCTTGCGTCAGGGTGCTCCCTCGCGCTCTCGGGGGTAGGGAATGGATTTGCTGAACTTACTCTGAAGGCTGATTCTGCACATGCCCTTGGCGCCTTGTGCACGTTTGGATGAGGATTTAATGGAGGCACGTGGGAGCAGTATGGTCTCTGGCGGGTTCCCAAAGACCCTCTTGGGATAGTCCAGCGCGTGTTCGGGGTTGAGAGGGAAGGGAGAGTGTTGCGTGTGACTGTCCCTCCTAGGGAGGAGGAGAGTGTCTCAAGGAGACTTCATTTGCTTGTATTTGCTGCAATTCCGTGAACCAAATCAGGCTTTCGAGGCGTTAAAGTAAATTACGGGTAAGTGGGGAGGATCTCTGCTGGGGATAAAGAAGCTCCCGGGTTTGCGGGGTAGCGGGCCTGGCTGGCGTGCTCGCTCGGTGGCTTTTGGCGCTGTCTCGCCTAGGTAGGTGGAAGTGGTGGTGCTTGTGTCTTTGGCTAAAGGTGCTGGAGCGGGGATTACTTGTCCTAGATAGACTGTGGGACTTGGAGGAGGTAAAAAAGCTTCGCGACGCGGTTTGTTCTTCGCAATTAACTCCGGAATCTCAAGTGTGTGTCTGTCGGTCGGTCTCTCTTTCTCTGTCTCTCTCTCTCACACACACACGCGCGCACGTCTCATGGCTGCTTGGACTTGCTGATAGTTGCTCGTGAATTTTTATTCCCGTTTGTTCCTTTTCTGACTTTTTTTTTTTTTTTTTGAAAAAAGGACCTACCTGTATTAAAATCCGTCGGGTTTCAGAAAGACCCTTACGAAACCATTCATATTCAAATCAAGGGTAGGGCATTCTGATAAAAATACTCCATCAAACTGCCGTTTGGATTGAACTAAACTGTACTTCAGGTTAGAATTAATGTTATTTTAAACAGACATCTTACAACCTGTGGTAAAGTAACCCTCGCCTGAATTTCCCCTGATCTTTCTTTGTGTCAGTTTACAGAATTCTGAATTACCAGATGAACAAAGTGGTGAAGTTCTCTTCTAATTTTAAACGACAGGTCTTGAAATGGCTGTAAGTTGAGTTCTTCGACTCCATCTCTTCAATGATCCGATCAGAGTGGTGCATAACAGCTGATGATCCGAGACTTACATGTTTCAATTTCTAGTCAAATTATCATACCGCTGGGGAGAAGGACGCCTTAAAAATTTTACACCCAGAGGAGAAAGAACATTTTTGTCTTTTGGAGCAAATATTTTGCCACTCTTTCCCAAATGTCCCTGTTAGACGCCTAGAAAAGATGCATTGTTGACGAATAATACGTGATTTATTTCTCTTTTATGTCTACAGGTGGCAGTGTGGAAGCCAAACCGGGAGCTTCCAGAAGTGGTTTCTGAAAGAGTCCAATGTACATGAGTAAGCAAGCACAGGAATCTGAAAAGCCACAGGTATGTAGGACAATTAATCCATCTATCCAGCTTTGTAATTACTGCATTCCAGCAGTACTAACCCATTTGGTCTTATGTTCAATATTTTGACACTTACATAAACTTCTATGAAGTGAAATGTATTTTGACGTAACCTCTGAGGAGAGACCGGGTCCAATCGACTTCTAACAATGTATTTAAATAAAAATACTGCGGGTCATTATATTACACGATTTTTTACTGTCCTAAAAGAGTTGTTTTTCCGTTGTGACCCTGTGGCTTTGCATTTAACCAGTTTGATACTTGCTTTTCAAAACACTTTTCCTGAAACTATGTAAAACTGCCAATTGTTCTGAATAATTTCATTTGGGATAATGTTAACAGAGTCACCTCGATGAATCAATAACAATATCAGCTTAAAAAAATTTTTTGAGGCCGGGAGCGGTGGCTCAAGCTTGTAATCCCAGCACTTTGGGAGGCCGAGGCAGGTGGATCACGAGGTCGAGAGATGGAGACCATCCTGGTCAACAAGGGGAAACCCCATCTCTACTAAAAATACAAAAAATTAGCTGGGCATGGTGGCACGTGCCTGTAATCCCAGCTACTCAGGAGGCTGAGGCAGGAGAATTGCCTGAACCCAGGAGGCGGAGGTTGCGGTGAGCTGAGATCATGCCATTGCACTCCAGCCTGGGTAACAAGAGCGAAACTCCGTCTCAAAAAAAAAAAAAAAAAAAAATTTTTTGAGACGGGGTTTGGCTTTGTCACCCAGATGGAGGGCAATGGCATGATCTCAGCTCACTACAACCTCCTGGGCTCAAGTGATCTTCCCACCTCAGCCTCCTGAATAGCTGGAACTACAGGTGTGCACTAGCACTCCGGGGTCGTTTTTGTATTTTTTTTTTTTTTTTTTTGTAGAAACAGGGTTCTGCCATATTGTCCATCCTGGTCTTGAACTCCTGGGCTCAGGTGATCCACCGACCTCGGTCTCCCTCACTGTTAGGACTACGGGCGTGAGCCACTGCACCCATCCCAGTATCAGCTTTTAATAAAACTGCATCTCACTGTTGAATTGACGTAACACAAATGACATAACACTGATCAGAATACAGATGCATTAGGAGGCTTCTTCTAAACCAAGCCCTTCTGTTATTAACCCTTGGATGATTTCTCTCCTCCTACCTTGCTGTTTTTACAGGCCCACTAATTTGCCTGCTTGACTAAAATAAGGACGAGTTATGTGCCAATGAGAGACAAGTTTGTAATGTTATTCGTTGTGACACAGTTCAAAAGAATTTGCCTTTGATTCTCATTAAAATGTAAACATTTTACATTTTACCATCTTTTTCAACAGCTGAGCAACTCAGCTGTTGAAAAAGATGATGAAGGGCAGAAGACAACAAAGGGAAGAAAACGTTTACCTTTGTTGGCTTTTACTTTCTTTTTTTTTTTTTTTTTTTTTTTGAGACGGAGTTTCGCTCTTGCTACCCAGGCTGGAGTGCAATGGCGCGATCTCGGCTCACCGCAACCTCCACCTCCTGGGTTCAGGCAATTCTCCTGCCTCAGCCTCCTGAGTAGCTGGGATTACAGGCACGCGCCACCATGCCCAGCTAATTTTTTGTATTTTTAGTAGAGACGGGGTTTCACCATGTCGACCAGGATGGTCTCGAACTCTCGACCTCGTGATCCACCCGCCTCGGCCTCCCAAAGTGCTGGGATTACAGGCTTGAGCCACCGCGCCTGGCCTGGCTTTTACTTTCTTTTCCTGGGAATGTGGGCCATAGCTATTGGTGTTTTCTTTTTTTTCTTTTCTTTTTTCTTTCTTTTTTTTTTTTTTTGAGATGGAGTCTTGCTCTGTCACCCAGGCTGGAGTGCAGTGGCACAATATTGGCTCAGTGCAACCTCCGCCTCCTGGGTTTAAGTTACTCCCCTGCCTCAGCCTCCCGAGCAGCTGTATCAACTTAAATTTTTTTTTACATTTAACCAGCCTGGTTAAATGCCATCACACCTGATTAATTTTTGTATTTTTAGTAGAGACGGGTTTTTGCCATGTTGGCCAGGCAGGTCTCAAACTCCTGACCTCAGGTGATCCACCCACCTCGGTCTCCCAACGTGTTGGGATTATAGGCGTGAGTCACCGCGCCCAGCTGCCCTTGGTACTTTCACAGAGATGCTGAAGTTACTGTGTTGGCTGTGTTAAGGGTCAGGCATCAAAATGGCTGCCCAAGAGAATGAAACTTTCTCTTTGTTAGGAATGAAAGGGCTGGGGTGGTGCACAATTATCACAGTGTTGGAATGTGACATTTTGCCTTGACAGCTGAGGAGGGATTTGTTTTGCCCCTGCCAATGAGGGTGTTAAATAAACTTGGATGCTGTTCTTGAAGCTTAAAAAATAAATTAAAACTGGGTGCAATGGCTGAAGCCTGGAATCCCAGCACTTTGGGAAGCTGAGATGGGAGGATCGCTTGAGCCTGGGAGTTCAAGACCAACCTAGACAACATGGCAACACCCTGTATCTACAAAAAAAATTACAAAAACTAGCCAGGCATGGTGATGTGTACTTGTTGCTATGTGTACCTCTAGTCCCACCCACTCGGGAGGGTGAGGTAGGAGCATCCCTTGAGCCTGGGAGGTTGAGGCTGCAGTGAACCATGATCACACCACTGCACTCCAGCCTGGATGTGACAGTAAGATCCCGTCTCAAAAGAAAAAAAAAAAAAGTTAAAAAAAAAAAATTGCACACTTACCAGTAGAAAGCAAATTGGGAGCTCAGACTCATAGTATAGATTACACTAAATATTGAAGGGTTCTTTAAAGAATGTGTGGATAAGGAGAGGCTTCAGGAAAGCTCTGGAACATTTTGGAACACATGTTGGCACTGCATGAGACTTGAATTCATTATCTGACTCGGGAAATTGGGATGTAACTACCCCTCCACATACCTAACAGGAACAGAGTCTCATCTCAGTCAAAAAGGAAAACAGCAAGATTGATATTTTATTCCTTTTTTGAATTACAGCATACTCGTTAGGTGCTTTAGAGATATTTGACTTTTGACATGTAACATACATAATCCAGTGTGAAAGGTACTGGTCTAAAGTGTACTACTCAGTGAGAATCACTTGAACCCAGGAAGTGGAGGTTGCAGTGAGCCGAGATCGTACCACTGCACTCCAGCCTGGATGTCAGAATGAGACTCTGTCTCTAAAAAGAAAAATAAATAAAGTGTACTTCTCAGTGAAATTTTGCGTGCGTATATACTATGTGACCATCGCCTGAATCAAGACGTAGATTTCCAGCACTCCAGAAGATTTCCTCTTGCCACTTCTGTTCAGAATTCATCTTATCTCCAACATAAAGGTAACCATGTTGTGATTTTAAAAACTCCATCTGCTAGTTTTGTCTTATAAGCTCCATATAAATAGTATCATATAGCAGAAACTCTTGTGTGTGTCTTTCATCACACATAGACAGGCACTAGAATCTCATAGATGTGGCATGAAGTCTGAGATTCATCCACAAGTTTGTGCATATTAGTAGTTCTAATCTCTTGCTGAGAGTCATTCCGTGCTATGCATATAGCACAGTTTGTTTCTCCATTTCCCTGTTGGCTCTTTGGATTGTTTTCAGTGGTGCTAATACAAATAAAGCAGCCATGAACATTCTTGCTTATGCCTTTTGGTGCACATGCGCAATCATTTCTCTGAACATACATTTAAGGAGTGGAATTGTACGGTCATAGGGTAGGTATATATTTAGCTTTAGTAGATCTTGCCAAACAGTTTCCCAAAGTGGTTGTACCCACTTAAATTTCCCCAGAAATGTATGAGTTTTCCAGTTAGTGACTCTACACTTTAATTAACACTTGGTTTTATCTGTCTCTTAAATTTTAGCTATTTTGGTGGGTGTACAGTGGTATCTTTCTGTGGTTTTTAAAAAACATATTTTATTCTAATTGTGGGAAAATTGCATATTTAGAATTTACCATCTTAACCTTTTTTTTTTTTTTTTTTTTTTTTTTGAGAGAGAGTCACTCTGTTGCACAGGCTGGAGTGCAGTGGTGTGATCTTGGCTCACTGCAGCCTCTGCCTCCGGGTTCAAGCAATTCTCCTGCCTCAGCCTCCTGAGTAGCTGGGATTACAGGCGTGTACTACCACGCCCTGCTAATTTTTTCTATTGTTTGTAGAGACGGGGGTCTCCAGGTGTTGGGCAGGCTGGTCTTGAAGTCCTGACCTCAGGTGATTCATCTGCCTCAGCCTCCCAAAGTGTTGGGATTACAGGCGTGAGCCACTTGGCCCGGCCAACCATTTTTGAGTGTACAGTTAGTAAGGTTTTAAGAATTATTTATTTATTTACTTATTTTTGAGATGGAGTTTCGCTCTTGTTACCCAGGCTGGAGTGCAGTGGCGTGATCTCGGCTCACCGCAACCTCTGCCTCCTGGGTTCAGGCAATTCTCCTGCCTTAGCCTCCTGAGTAGCTGGGACTACAGGCACGTACCACCATGCCCAGCTAATTTTTTGTATTTTTAGTAGAGACGGGGTTGCACCATGTTGACCAGCATGGTCTCCATCTCTTGACTTCGTGATCCACCAGCCTCGGCCTCCCAAAGTGCTGGGATTACAGGCTTGAGCCATCGCGCCTGGCCATTTTTTTGTATTTTTAATAGAGACGGGGTTTCACCATATTGACCAGGATGGTCTTGATCTCTTGACCTCGTGATCCACCCGCCTCAGCCTCCCAAAGTGCTGGGATTACAGGCTTGAGCCACCGCGCCCGGCCCTACAGTTAGTAACATTACGTGCAAGTTGTCTAACCATCACCACCACTCATCTCCAGAACTCTTCATTTTGCAAAACTGAAACTGTACGCATTAGACAGTAATTACCCAATTCCCCCTTTAGCCACTGGCAACCACTATTCTACCTTCTGCATCTATAGGTTTGGCTATATACCTCAAATAAGCTAGATCAGACGACAGCGTTTGCCTTTTGTAACTGGCTTATTTCACTTACATAATGTCCTCAAGGTTTAGCCATGTTGTAGCATGCATTTAACTTCAGTTTCAAGGATAAATAATCTATTGTATGTATCTGCCACATTTTGTTAATCCATTCATCTGTCAGTGGACACTTGGGTTTTCACCTTTTGGCTATTGTGACTAATGCTGCTGTGAAACATAAATGTACAGATAGCCTCTTCAAGTCTTTTCAGTTATTTTGGGCATATACTCAGAAGTGGAATTGCTGGGTCATATGGTAATTCTCCTTTAATTTTTATTTAAAAGGTTTTTTTTTTTTCCTTTTTTTCTTTTTGAGATGGAGGAGTTTTGCTCTTTGTCCAGGCTGGAGTACAATGGCACAATCTCTGCTCACTGCAACCTCCGCCTCCTGGGTTCAAGTGATCCTCCTGCCTCAGCCTCCTCAGTAGCTGGGATTATATGCACCCACCACCATGCCTGGCTAATTTTTTTATTTTTTATTTTATTATTATTTGTTATTTTTTGAGCTCCCACGCTGCTATGGGAGGGGATCCAAGGGAAGAATCTCAATTTTTTAAATTTATTTTTTTCATTTTTTTGGAGACAGAGTTTCACTCTTATTGCCTAGGCTGGAGTGCAACAGCGCGATCTTGGCTCACCACAACCTCCGCCTGCTGGGTTCAAGCGATTCTCCTGCCTCAGCTTCCCAAGTAGCTGGGATTACAGGCATGTGCCACCATGCCCAGCTAATTTTTGTACTTTTAGTAAAGACAGGGTTTCTCCATGTTGATCAGGCTGGTCTTGAACTCCTGACCTCAGGTGATCCGCCCACCTTGTCCTCCCAAAGTGCTGGGTCTGTGTCCTGCCTAATTTTTGTATTTTTAGTAGAGATGGGGTTTCACCATGTTGGCCAGGCTGGTCTGGAACTCCGGACCTCAGGTAATCCACCCGTCTCTGCCTCCCAAAGTGCTGGGATTACAGGCGTGAGTCAATGCGCCTGGCCTTATTTAAAACATTTTTAAAGACAGGATTGGCCAGGCACATAGCTCACGCCTGTAATTCCAGCACATTGGGAGGCCAAGGCAGGCAGATCACTTGAGGTCAAGAGTTAGAGACTAGCCTGGCCAACGTGGTGAAACCCCGTCTCTACTAAAGATACAAAAATAATCCGGGCGTCGTGGTGAGTGCCTGTAATCCCAGTTTCTTGGGAGGCTGAGGCAGGAGAATCACTTGAACGTGAGAGGCAGAGGCTGCACTCCAGCCTGGGTGACAGAGTGAGACTCGGTCTCAAAAAAAAATAATAATAATTAAAAAAAATAACGATAGGATTTCACTCTGTTGCCCAGGCTGGAGTGTAGT